GCAGGCATCCACCCAACTTTACTCCTTGCAGGTTTCGGGTGGGGAGCGCCCTGAACTCACGTTTTTCACAAACCAGTTGCTTTTCCGCTTATGATTGTTTATTCTGCTGCCAAGATATTAGGAACCGGCTCACGATGACGCAGGTTTGGGCACAACCTAAGGGTTCTGACGCGTGTGAGCAGGCCAATACTGAAAAGGTGGTTTACTGGTAGGGTGGAACTGCAGGCCCACCCCCCTCAGAGCTCAAAGGCTCCGCGGAAGGGCACTGCTAGGACGTCTGCTGAGGCCTTGGGGGCCACTGCGGGAGTCTGCAGGGTTTCGAAATGAGCTTTACGGCTTGTCGTTGCCTTTTCCAGACCACCGCGGCATCCTCCAGGGTTCTGTTTGTTTGGGATTGTCCCGCCAAGCGGCTCGCAGAAGGACCCCAGAACCCTGGCTTCTTCCACTCCGGCACTCTATTCCACTTTTTAGTTCAAACGACTGTGTGAGTGGCTGCCGCATGTAGTTCTGGGTCTTCCAGGCACCCTAGAAAAGGGTGCGGCCTAGGCAGGTCTGGGTGGGAATCTAGGGATTGAAGTTCACGACGGTTCAGGGTTTGGTGTGTTGGTTTGTCTTTGAAGGGGTTGTATAACGGTTGTGAAGAGTTTAGGGTTCAGCTGCTACAGTGACGAAGCGAATGGAAATGGAATGGAAATTGCTGAGTAGGGTTTAAGATAGGAGAACCAAAAGGAGCATGACATGGAAACAGGGATTATCATTTGATTGGCAGGGAGCACGCAATCTAAAAGCCTGTGACCAATATCATAGCTCTACCCTCGTATAAGCATAGTTCAGAGTACTTCAAATCGACCTCAAAGTTATATAAGCTTCTTTCTAAGCGCCTAGTATCCCCCTTAAAATCGCCTACAGTAATCCCCCAATTATATAATCCCTTTATAACCCGCTTTAAGGAGCTTAGATTATGGCTTGTATAGGTTTATGCGGCCCACAAGTCTAACAGTCTAATGCACACTCTGTATCTGGCTCTCTTATCTCCAATCGAGAATAGCGAAAGCTGCGCAAAAAGCTGCAGCAACGCTATAAATCGTAACGGTTAGCGTAGCTCATGCTACCATGAAACTGTGTTGCCACTCTTCCGTGTATTCAGGAGAGTAATGCAAGAGACTGGCCCCAACCAAAGCCGCCTGATGTATACGCTATGCACGCACGGGGTCCTGACTGAACATTCTGGTCAAACGAACTGACCTGAATCTAAATGAATGAGCGTTCACCTGAGGTGCTGGACAAGATCTGTGAGCAATTCAGCATAGCAAACGGTCACCGAAGAGAGCACATGGGACGCGATGCGCTGGGCATGCGTGTCTTGGGCTGTAGAACAGCATGGTTACATTCTTAGGACCTCGACGAATCAACCCCTGAAAGCCCAATGCACGAGGATTCAACTGGTACAGAGATGGTTCTGACTGGAAGCCCTTCCATCACGATTCGGCTGCCTTCAACCCACGGATGGCTGCAAAGCAGAACTGTCACCAAGCTGCTAACGGGGAGTGCTTCAGGTCTTCAGATGACATCTGCGTCTGAGGCGCCAGCATTTACGTAGGGTCATAGACAGTTGCGACATGGTTTGGGCATGTAGTATGCTGGAAGTGTACACACACACACATATATATATATACACACACATGGATTAAAGGGGCTAGGATGCAAACAGTTTTGAAGGCTTCCAACTGAAAACTCTTTGGGGCAGGGCTGCTGCTTTAGGGTTTTGATGTGTGGAGGCGGGAATTGCAATCTTAAGTGACGTATTTGTAGATGTGAAAATTTGAACTCAGCCATAATAGAGTTTTCGTGGGCAGTTCGCTACCTAGTACTCCTTCCGCGGGGGCGCAGTGTGGGTGTTCAATGGGCCGGAACCCATGAGAGTCCTCACATCTCTGACCAGGCCCTGTTTTGGCAAACAAAAGTTTGTGGGAGAGCCTTGCTTTGTTTGCTCACTGTATGTAGTAGTTTCCATTTTATTTTCCATTAACCCAATATATCCCCGATATAACCCTATGAAATATATTAAAGTTTCCATGTTATTTTGCACTATCCCAACACGACCCCAATATGTGACCTATATAAGTGTATTTTCCGTTATCCCAATATAATCCCAACCCTATGACCGGCTTGCGCCCGAGGCACTGTGGGCGTTTCCCTGGGTGCCATGCGCGAGCTGGCCTTTCGGAGCGTCGAGAGCAGCGATCTTATCTACTTCCCACAGCTGCTCATCTGTTGTGGCGCAGGGCTGGGGCGCTGGAGTTACGTGCGCAGATTCAGGGCTAAATAACAGGGCCAAGGAATCACATTAGATTGTCAAAATGTCGAGGGGTACACTCCGCAACACAAACATGAAACTTGAACGAGGGCTGCTACAGGAGGACCTCCGTTCCAGACGAGCTCTTGTAAGTAAGGGCATTTGTCTTCAAAGCTTGGAACGTATGATCATAAAAACCTAGACGCTGTTGAGCTTGTACGGCACAAAAATCGCTGTATCAAATGGAAGGCTGCTCTAAGTAGTGTAGATGAATGTTGCCTACCTGAGAGTTTAGGGTTAACCTACACCCCAAAGGTCTTCGGAATACCGATAGTTTTTTTTCCTCGAAGGGCAGGGTAATTCGAGGAAGATTCGGACCCCGAGAGCCTGAATTTCACCTGGAAGGTTGGCACGCCTGAATTTTCTGGGACAATTAGAGTTGGGAGTACCTTATGGTCGTAATGTGCTTATACATGTAGAATGAATATATCTATAGGCGTATGTATATATTTATATACATATATGTACATATATATATATATAGATTTACAGTAAGCGCCTATGTATAATTATGGATGTATACATACACATACATACGTATGCGCTTCCACGCCCCGCTGCCAAAAAAGAATGTATTTCCATGACGGAGTCCACCCCCTCTGTCTCCCCCTCACTGAAGAGGCCCTGGATGAGGCGTTGGATGTCTGTTAACGCATGTTCATTTGGGTTTTGTACCAGAGACTTCGTAGCTGAGTAGGTGCATTGTACACTTTTTGGCTCCTGTAGTCCAAGTATAAAAGTGTAGACTGATTTTGGCTTGCGTTCAGAAGGCAGTTCCTTCCTGCCCCCAACCAAAGTTGCGCAAGGAGCAATGCAATGCTCTTCTTCTTCGGTCGCGATGTGAACATTCGTTGGCAGTGACTTGATCAGTGACAAATTATGTCATACATCCATGGGAGTGGGAGTACGGAACCCTATATGTGCCCTTGTCTAAACTCCTAGTATCCCCCTTCATAACCCCCATAGTAGTCCCCTATATGATCCCCTGTATAACCCCTCTTTGCGGAGTTTAGACTAAACCTCATATGAGTCCTTATATGTAATTCCCACCGTAATCCCTACAGGTCAGGCCTCATTTGGAGTCTATTCCTTGCAGGGGGAGTTTCAGACCAAATAGGTGGCTACCTTGGTAGAGGCAACGGTTATCGGCGGATCTACGCACAGTCCCCCTTGAGTAGATAGAATATGGTTTTGGGAATATTAGGGGGACTATAGATTCAACAGCAACTCCCTCAAGGAATTGGTTCGGCTTGACCTGTCTTCTACCACATTGAAATATCCACATTTGCTATACGCCTTATTATGTGGACCTCGAAAAACCATTTCTTGGAGTTGCCAGTCCCAACTTGCCTTGGCCAGCTATCAGCGGATCAGGGTTTAGGGATTAGGATTTAGGGTTACCAAAGGACCATCAATGGCTCGCATAGGGGTACCCCCCTGGCAGTTCCGTATAGTTCTGTATATGTTGCCTTGCAAGGGCTCAAGTCCACAAATTATCTGGGCGATAATGCCTGTGGCTCATATATGGTTCTTGAGATACCTTTTGCCTCCAATATCGAGAATCAAACAGAAAGAACATGGAAAATGGCATGGGGACTGCGGAAGTATAGGGATTGCAGGGGCCAAAAGAATCACTACGTAGTGTCTTTCGAAAGTTATTTGAGGTAACCATCTAGGACCATAGCGCGGGCAATTACTTTGTCTTCTACAGCATTCCTTGCATTAACCCCAATATAGCCCTAATACAACCCTAGATAATAGTTTCCATTTTCTTTTCCATTATCCCTATATAACCCAATATAGCCCTAATATAACCCTAAATAATAGTTTCCATTTTCTTTTCCATTATCCCTATATAACCCTAATATGCTCCCAACCCTAAACCCTAAACCCTAAACCCCTTTGAGAGCCCTAATATAACCCTAAATAATAGTTTCCATTTTATTTTCCATGTCCATACTCCGCTTTCAGTTTCGCGCGGTCTTCCCCAAAGTCTGCACCATGTCAAATGGACTCAAAGGGCCTCAAAGGGCGTGTGGTGGCAGCCGTCTGGCTCTGTAGGCAGAGGCTCAAAATGTTGGATTGTAGGGGATATATTGGAGTTATGTAGGGGTAATGGAAAAGAAAATGGAAGCTACTAAGTATATCAGGGTTTTATGGGGACAATGGACAAGAAAATTGAAAGTACTAAGTATATCAGGGTTATATGGGGACAACGGAAAAGAAAATTGAAGATACTACAGGGTATGAATATTGACCTGAGCTCATTGTCAGGCATCAAGGCCAGTCAATTCAAAGATAAAGTCAAGTTTTGCAGCAGGGGTGATCACATTTCAGGCAGGAAATCGTGTAAAATTTATAGCTCTTCTGAAAAATAGCATGCCGCTTTACCTCGCAGTTCGGGCAGTTTCTGACCAAAAGGTCGGGCAGGATTTAGAAAATCAACAGTAAAAAGTGATGAGCACCTGAATTGTTATCTCTTACTCAGTTGATATTTCATGTGAGCATGAGGACGTCCAGGATGATTATGACGGTCCTTGGTCCTCAGTCCTTACCTTCATTTTGTTGAGCTTACATGCCATCTTCACTGCGATTACATTGTGGGTTAATTGTCATGCCAGTTGGATTCGTTGAATCAGTCTCGGCCCAGTATAGTCGTATTCAAGTTCCCAAAATCTGAGCCATGTTAAGCTCAGCAGTTTCTTCATGCCAGTAGCTAGACCGTACACTCCACCAAACTAACATGGAAACCCATATAGTACCCTTTTAGAAGGACTGTAGCCGTTATAGGGCCCTGTTTCGGTTTCCATGTTAGTTTCCGGGAGTATAGTTCGTAACAAGTAGCTGCTTACCCTGCCTCCAGCCCTCAAATCTAGATCTTGATGCCCTTTGGACACCCGCACCGCTCAGGCACGGCCTCAACGCCCTTCCGCTCGAGCAGCAGAGTGGCAAGGGGCGGATCTCACTCATCCTGCCCCTGAGCTCTCAAAGACACTCATTGCTGGTTGCTCGTAGTGACTAAGGGAAGATAATCCTTATATAGCTCCTATATGTATATATTCCTTTATTCCCCACTAAGCCTAAACCCTATTATATATATATATATACATATCTGTCTATTTGTCTATCTATCTATCTATCTATCTGTCCTTTATTGCCCACTTCACCCCCAGTAAGATCATCTGGTTTACGGCTTCAGGCTTTAGGGTGCAGGGTTAGGGCTACGACAAGGTTCGCGCCTCCCAGAATCTGGCGAGTTGTTGGTTTTCTTGGGCGGACATAGGAAAATCTAAACAATATACTTCTATAGAGATCTATAGAGATGATATTCCCTTATTCCCTACAAAGCCCCATAAAGTAAGTTTGGTCCAATGTGAGCTTTGACTATGAAGGTCCCTGCCAGAATCATTGCACATAATCACGCAAAGATCCTGAATGACACTGTGCAGGAAATGATGTGTAGGCCTCATAACAACAACTTGCATGAGTCCCAGTCACGTACCTCTTCAAGTAAATGTTCAGTGGGCCACTTGATACACTGAACGCGCTACACATGCAAAATCGACGTTTGCAAGGTGTAGAGCTTCAGACGGCCACTTGAGACCTCCAAACACCCTACACATGTGAAATGAAAGTTTCGAATGTGCAGGGGTTTCGAAAGGTGACTTGAAAGCTGAACACCCTACACTGGCCCTACACGGTGTAAAGCTGTAGTTTTGAAGGTGTAGGGCTTCAAAGAGTGTTGAAGCTGTGGGTTGTCCAGTGAGCATAAGCCCTACAGTGTGTAAAGCCAAGACTGCCCTCAATAGTAATGCCTTAGGTGGACCCCCCACCCAGTAATAGTGACTATAAGGGATAATAGGGATTATATTAGGGTCCTCTTATACTCTTCTTATACCTATTACAGGGTGGGGGGGTCCTCTTAAGTACTCCCCAGTGATATCATGGCTAAGGTGGGGTCTCTGTCAGCTGGCCATCGAGGAGATTGCTTCACCACCCATGCTCCAGAACTTCGCCAATGGCAAGGCCCTTGACCAGCCTGCGCTGAAACTGTATGTGGCATGTACGTGACCATGCGGGCCTCATGTTATAGTCGTTATCTCCAATTCTGGGCTTCTGCATGTTTCCACTTGAGGATCCATACGCGCATTTCGCTGGACTGAGATGGGTGTTTCTCAAACAATCCCTGCCATGATCCCCAACAGTGACCTATAATGTCCTTATAATCCAGCCTTTTCCCTGCCTGGAGAGGCCATAGTATTTGTTAAAACACAAATATATACATATATACATATATGTATATTCCTGAAGTCCCTTGGGGTCCCCAAGTAACAGAAACCGTAAATCAGAAAACTTAAGCCCTGAAACCCTCAAACCCACAAACCTCTGAAACCCATTGAAAGCCTAAGCCCTGAAATCGTAAACCCTAAACTCCAAGGTTGAAACCCTGCGCTCCGAGTATGGGCCCTGAACCTGGCATCCTTATATACCTACTAACTATACACCCTATATATGCACCTTGAGGGGTCTCCAGAATCCGCCTAAAAGGCCGAAGGCCCATACCTCTCACCTTAGATAAACCCGTGTGGCCAGGGGAATGGCAAAGGCAAAGATGCTCGAGCAGAGGTTTGTAGGATTCCTGGCCAGCAAGTAGCGTTAAGGGCTGATAACTTAAGTAGATAGAATATGGCTTTGGGTATATTAAAATAGGATCCCCATATACCCCATATTCTACTTACTTGATGGGGACTAGGGCTTAGGGAAGGAAAATGGACAATTAGATTACGCCTTTTAGGGCTTAGGGTTTAGGGTAGGAAATGGAGAGTCAAATGGGAAACAAAGTAAATACTATTATTCGACTGGGCTTATACAGGAACCATTTATCATGGGCTTCCATAGACTGAGGGGATGTTGCCTTGAGAAACAAGTGCAAGCAATGGAAAATTACATGGACAAGGAATGGACACCAGGATAAGACAGGGGTGTGCGGGCATTAGGGTTTCCATGGAAAGAGAGGCCCTTGTAGGTCAAGGGGCCACTGAGTTTGGAAATTTGGAAATATTCCAGCCAGTGTCAATGTAAATCCTGGAGACCGTGGGCTACCCCTTTTTCTCGAGAGACCTCTTGATTTTCATGTATACGTTCTCAGGAACTTTCAGCGTGGCAATTGCGTCTATGGGCAGAAGTGCAGATACTCGCACGGAAGCGGCTGAGCCTGGGGTTTGTGTTCTCCGCACCGGCCACTCTGCGTAATCTTAGTTTCCATTTATCTTAAGGTTTTTGGTCCAGATGATTCTCCATAGCGGTGGAAATGGTAACCCCAAAACCATGTTGGCATTTAGGTCCCACGAGTCAAAGTGTGCACTCCAAATTTGCGCAGCGATTCCGCAGTGTTTTAGGGGCCCCCGCTTTCTCCGTGGCGCTCAAGTAAGGAAGGCAGGTCCTGCGTGCATTGTCAGTGTGATTCCAGACTCGGTGTAGACATCAATGTTGTAGACTGAAGAAGTTATCCACTAGGCCACTAGTCCGCATAGTGTACCAAGCAAGGGAGGTTTGAAACGTACATTACTCACATCCCAGGCCGGCTGCTTGCAACTGCTCGTCTCAAGCTGGCATCTCATTTATGCGGATGCTTCTGAGAGAGATTCCCACGCAGCAACGGGACGGACAGCGCGCTTGCCAAAACAATGTGCCCTACCCCATAGTAGTTTCCATTTTATTTTCCATTATCCCTATATAGCCCCAATATACTATAGTAGCTTCCATTTTATTTTCCATGATCCCTATATAGCCCCAATATACTATATACTATAGTAGCTTCCATTTCATTTTCCATGATCCCTATATAACCCCAATATACTTTGATGGGGCATAAGATAGATAGGTGCGTCTAGAAGCTCGATAAGTTGGAGCTCTTGTTGTGGTGCGCTCGTGTGCGCGGGAGGCGGAAGATAGAGAGGGCGGGAGTGCCCTGTTACTCATGTAAAGCGAGCATTATTCTCAAGTTTTTTTGTGGGGCCCTATAAATCGCTCAACACTCAACGGTTTTGTTCCTTGTCGCCGCACCCTATGTTGGGAGGAATTTACACAGCTCCTCCCGTTATGTAGACACAAGTTGACCTGCGAGACCACAATCCACCCTGCCTTAAATCCGGCACCATGAGAATAAGACTTCTAACATCCGGTGCACAGTAGAAGCTTTCAGACAGATATTTGAAATCGAGATGCAAGCTTCTGATCATGGACTTCATGCATGCATTTCCCATCGTGTATGGATGAGATGGTCTAAGATTTAGGGATCCAGGGTTCATAGGGCTTTACTAGCGGACCCCGAGCGCTGGCATCCCCAGCTTTTTGGTCAGATGCCCTCTTCGGTCATGGTTGTTACAGGCGGGTACGGTTCGGCTGGGGGATGCAACCCAACTTGTTTCCCAATATTAGGGGTACCCTTTTAGGGTTTAGTGTTTTGGGTTTAGGGTTTTAGGGTTTAAGGGTTTAGGGTTTAAGGGTTCTAGGGTTGAGGGTTTAGGGTTCAGGGGACGCACCTCCTTCCCTTGAGCCATGCCCCTCCAGGACTCTCGCAATCCATTGGGACTTGCAGAGGATCTCAGCGGGGAAACTCTCCTGTAAGAAGGGAGATTGTACAACAGGTCATGGTCTTTGACATGGACCTGCAGGTTCCCACAATCCTCCAGGACATCAGAGTACCAGTCCCTGGATGCAAAAGCCATATGGGAGGGAAACCCCAACATAGACCCAAAGTTGTCTATAATCCTTAGTATGGGTAGCCCCCCTGAACCTCCAACCCCTAAACCTTAAAACAGGGATTCCGAATTTATAGAAACACCCCTATATGGATGCATGGAATCCAAGCAGAAACCACAGGTTGGGAGCTAGCCTCTCGGCTGCTGCAGGAAAGCGCGGAGGAGGTAGCAAGCGCAGTCCAGACGGCTTAGAATTTGGGGTTTAGGATTTAGGGTTTTTAAGGTTTAGGATTTAGGGTTTAGGATTTATTTGGGGCTTAGTGTTTAGGTGATAATGGAGAATGAAAGCCAAATGAGAGATGGTATTCATGGGGGTTATATAGGCACCATACTGTAGGCATGCATAGACAATCTTACTCCAATAAGAGAGAACAAAATGGCAAGAAACATGGAGAGTTCAATCCAAATTGGGTGTATCGTTTTTTGGGGGAGTTACAAGTATAACAGCTAGAGATTGCTATTGAACCATACTTGCTCACTGTGTTGGGCTCCCTTGAAGAGATCGTCTGCAGTTTGGGGTTTGGGCCGGGATGTTGGGCTGGAGGCGTCCCGGTTCTCAGCATAATCCCCATCCCCGTAATAACCACCCTCCCCCTCACCGGCTGCCAGCGGGCAAATTCCCCAAAACCCTAAACCCTACCTGCAACCCCAATTGCCTACAGCTCAATACTAATTACTTCCTATTTAGTAGGTAGGAAATAAAAAAAACCGCAGATAATGGGGGTTGCAGGTAAGCCCCAAACCTCATTTGGGCGGGTGGGGGGTTTATCAATAGGGGAGGGAAGGTGCGGGAGGTTGGAATGCATGGTGTTGCTGTATAAGGGATCACAATAGTACCCCCCAAAGGTACCCCCCCAGATTTGCAACCTTATTAGGCCTTATTAAGCCCTATATAATCCTTATTAGCTCCTTAAACCCTGGGGGGGTACCTTTGGGGGGGTACTAGGGTAATCCCTTAACTGTAGTTGTGTAAAATTTGTGGGCTCCTCGCCCCTTGTCTTCTGTTAGCGGTCCCTTTTTTGCGGTCCCCTTTAATGCACTTAAAGGCAAAATAGTCCATAGAAAAGGAACGCGACAAGGACCTAACTTCAAAAAACGTCGCACGCAGTCACCGGGCAAATGAACCAAGTCGAGACACCTGGGAAGCCTCCATGCCCTCCATAGTGTGCGAAACCATTTCAGCATGCACGTCGTCAAGTCCTCAATACGGACCTAGCCGGCCTCATAATAATCCCCAAACAAGTCCTCGCATCATCCCTGGAGCACCCCCATCTCCATATCAGGGCCTACGAGATCTGGTCCAGTGCAACGCTGTCATGGCAGTTATAGCTTCCAGCAGCGATATTCCACAGCGATGGGTTCTCGCCCTAGCCGACTCGTTTTGTGGGGTTCTCCGTAGGGTGCTGGCTTTCAGGACATGGCGGAAAGGACCTTGTCGGGAAACTGCAGAATTTGAGACACCGTCACATTTTCTTCTGGTCAAGGAGGGTCTATGAGCGGACGGCGCGAAACGAAGTCTAGGTTTTCAAGGATAACTCAAAGGAGACTCCTTGGTAGTTCGGTTGATCAGTATTAGCGAAATCGCTAGCCCTGAACCTCTGGATTCGGGTTAGTCAGCCTTGAGCTGATAGAAATGGATCCTTGAGTTTTTGTTGTTTGTTTAAATAGGTTTTCCCCCAACCCATAGATACAATATGCTAGGGTTCGTTTAATCCCATGCTCGGCTCCATAACCCCCCGATATGTTCTATGTATAGGGGCTTTCTTCTTGCGAGATGACAGGTTCTACCTATTACTTCATGCTGGCACCTCGATCTCAGAGACCTCCCTCATACCACTGAGACCTCAGGACCCAATGATAAAAAGCACCAGGCCTTGATAGTGGGTCGTCTCAAGATCGTAAAGTCAGATAGATACTCAGGATGAGAGGCACGCATATAGGTTTATGCATGGTATCCATAAACATGCATGAACATATTATCAGGTGGGGTGAGGGATTTTTTTGGAGAAGGCGATTCTACTTCGTTTTTTTGTAGCTGTTGATCTATCAGGTGCTTAAGGGGGAGTGAATATAGGTACCATGATAGGGGTATATACGGGAGTGTAAAGGAATTATTATAGGGATCCACGCCCTTCCCCCTAAAAACCCTAAGCCCTAAAAACCCCAAACCCTAAACCCTGCAAATTTCTAGGGTTCTACACCCCCACTCTCCCTAAATCCTAAACCCTAAACCAGTAAGTT